TTTTTCGAGACAGGGTTTCTCTGTGTAACAGTCCTAGCTGTCCTGGAACTTGTTCTGGAACCAGGCTGACCTCAAACTCATAAAGATCCGCCTGCCTCTGCCTCCTGAGTGCTGGGATTAAAGGTGTGCACCACCACTGCCTGGTGGATTCTCTTTTATTTAAAACTTTTTAAATTTTACATACTAACCCCAGTTCCCCCCTCCCTTTCTTTCCCCCACTCTCCCCTCCCCATCTTCTCCTCAGAGGAGGTAAGGCCTTCGTTGGAGAGTCAACAAAGTCTGGCATACCAAGTTGTGGTAAAACCAAATGCCCCTCCCCTCCCAATCAAGATTGAGTAAGGTATCCCGCCATAGGGAATGGGCTTCACAAAGCCAGTTCATGCATCCAGGATATGTCCTGGGAGTTTGGACTTTCTTATATGAATGTCATTTCAGTGTACTTGTCTTAGGTGTTACTATATCGCTGTGAAGAGACAGCATGACCGTGGCAACTCTTATAAAGGAAAGCATTTAATTGGGGGCTTGCTTGTAGTTTCAGAGGCTTAGTTCTTTATCCTGGTGAGGAGCGTGGCAGCTGGCATGGCAGCGGGTCCTGGGAATTAGCTGAGAGCTGCACCCTGGTCCGCAGACAGAGAGAGAGCAATGCTGAGCGTGATGTCAGCTTTCGGGAACTTTCAAGCCTGCCCCCAGTGATTCACTACTCCAACAAGGCCACGCCTCCTAATCCCTCTCAAATAGTGCTACTCCCTAGTGACTAAGCATGCAAATGCATGAGCCTAAGGGGGCCGTTCTTATTCAACCCACCATAGCACTTAGAAATGATTAGAATATTAAGTTATTTTTCCAGTTGTGTAAAATAGCTTTGATATTTGTTAAAATAGGTTTGATATTTATTGACCTGTGTTGGTACACCCTTAATTTTTGGGTAAATGTTCTTAAAATGGAATCACAGGCTATTTCTCCTAGAGCATTACTTCTCCGAACAATGTCACCAGGGATTCTTTTTAATGGGGGAAAAGAAAGCCTCTGTGGACAGTGGCTTTTTTGCAGGGTAAGTGGGAAACAAGCAGAGTTCTAGGTTCTTGTTGCTGAGGGTGCGAGGCCTCACACAGAGGGCAAACACTTGCTGTGTGGGCAGTAGGCTAACACTCCAGTGTGCCACCCCATTGCGTGGTCCCAGGATTCATGCCCCACTCCCTTTGTAAATGAGAGCACTAAGACTTGGAGGTGAAATATCTTTGCAGGTATCTCAGCAGGGAGTGGCAGAAGGCTAAGGAGAAGGATTATGGAGTGGCCAGTGGAGTACTGTAGGTTCAGATTTCCAGAGGCATCCTGGGATTAGGAGTCTTTTCTCACAGAGCTGTGAGTGGAGGTTCTTGGGAAGGACCCAGTCCTTACTGCCTGTCACTCCTGCACCATAATTCAGAGCTGTGTTAGATCTTCTGTGCCCCCCCAACTTATTCCTTGGTTATTAAGATGCCACATCTTGCTTAAAATAATCAATGCTATAGCGAGACACTGTATATCCAGTGATGATCCCAGTGTTGAGTGTTTTGGAAGAGGAGCCTGGAAGGAAGTGTTAATGGAGGGTGGATGGTGCAGGTCGTCTTCAAAGATGCAGGAATTAGGAATAGGCAAGTGGATCGGAGTACTGAGTAGGAAGAGAGACAAGAAGCGTTAAAGAAGAGTGCATATGTCAGCTCGCACATGGTTGGGATAAGGCGGATGTGATGGAGGCGAGGGCCCTTGGACCCATCCGGAAACAGCGAGGAGCTCTCCGACATTTCCAAGTGACCGATGGAGCCGAGAGAAGCAGAGCTGTGAGGCCACACTGACGGTGGATGGAGCAGCCAATGGGATGTCAGGGTAGTGGTCCAGCCTTCTGGAGTCAAAAACTCTGCCTGCTGATTGTGGGTGTTCTCCAGTTCTTACCGGTTCCTCCCACCTGAGTGATAATTACAGTCTGATTTACACTTACACGTGTCTGATCACGTGGCATAGTGGATGTAGTTCAGAGATAGAACACTGCGTCTTTGATAGGCACAGGTGGCAGATACAGGGTCCAGACCAAAGTGGTCTTTTTTCTTCTAGTCTTTTCAAAAGAACACCCAACAGGCCTTTGATGGATTTATGGTGGACCTTCACATATGTGGTCACCCGGCCACAGATGACAGCTGATAATTCTCCAAGTGATCGGATACACACGGAAATACGTGGGCAGGTGTCAAGGGCAGCATCTGAAGGGCACTTGTGTTTTAAACATGCAGTTGGTGTTCGATTTTGGCTCCCCGTTTGGGCCAATCCCTCTGATGCCCTGGTGTGAGGGAATGAGATGGCCAGTGGTAACATCAGAGCCAGGGTGATAGTAAAATTCAAGATTTTAGATGCTTAGATGGGAACCGCTGCCTTCCGTCCTTTCAGAGTGTTGACAGTTAACAACACCTTTGGTCACAGTGTGGTGGCTGACCAGTGCTGCTTTCCCCTTGTGAGTATCTCTTCACAGGGAAGAGGAGGGAAGTTTAGGGAACCAAGGGTGCTGTGGGCCATTAAAGAGAAATGTATAAGGAAGGCTAAGCATTCTTTGTCATATGCTTCTCTGAGCTTTTACTATGTGACTGTGACCCTCCAGGAGAGGGCTCCAAACCGTTCTTTTCTCATTGTTTTGTTTTGTTTGCACGGAACTTTCTCCCCCATGGCCCTGCAGTTCTTCATGGTACCCAGAAGTCATGTTGATCAAGGAACATCTAGATATTATGTATGTCTTTCCCTTTGGTATTTGGCTAGCTCTCTTAGCTCTGAGATCTGAGTTGGTATTTGGTTTGGTTTACTTTTTTGAGTCAGGGTCTCACTCTGTATCCCTGACTGGCATGGAACTCACTACATAGACCAGGCTGGCCTTGAACTCGCAGAGATCAGCTTGCCTTTTCCTCTTTCAGTACTGAGATTAAAGGTGTTCACCACAACACCCAAGAGGTGTTTTGTTTTGAGACAGAGTATTGCTTTGTAGCCCAGGCTGGCTCCAAATTCCTTATCCTTCACTCTCAGTCACCTAAGTGGTGTGCCTCCTTGCCAGGCAGCTCTGATTTTTTTAACTGTTTATTTATGTATTATGTTTCTGGGGATAATCCCCAGATTTGTGCATTCTAGGTAAAATGATCCACCCATATCTCCAGTCCAGATTTTATAGAGATCTATCTTTTTTAAAAAAATATATTAGTTTCATTAAGGTATTTGGAGTTTTTTGTTTACATATATATATATATGTGTGTGTGTGTGTGTGTGTGTGTACGCATGCATACATACATACGTACGTACACACATCACAAATGACTCTTGGATCTCATTCCTTTCTTTTCAATATGCTTTTAAGAATATTTAGTTTTGTGTTTTACCTGTCTAAGATCCTCTAATACTGTGTTCCTGATACTTAAAAAAAATACTCCAAATTCACGTGCTTTTCCCTGTAGTGTGTTTGAGATAACTTTTGACCTATATTCTCTCTACGCTTTTTAGTTCATTACTCTATCATCTACTCCGCCACATCTTCTAGTATGTTCTCTTCGGGGCTGATGCTAGCCCTGACTTATTCCAGCGGTGGTTGAGCCTGTGTCAGTAGAGGCAAAAGTTTTATCCTGGGAGCCGGATGGAGATCATTTAGTTGAAAACATCCAATTTGGGGAAGCCATCTATGAAAGACTGGGGCGTTGTTACAGCGGGGTTGGGAGGAGTTGTGACCCATCTGGTTGGATGATGAACCTCGGTCACTGAGCCAAGGACACTTCTCTCAACTCTTTTTGCATGCCACTTCCGGCTTTCAAAGAGTGTCATAAAGAATGCCATTTTGAAGGGCACCGTGAACTTTAGGTCTGGCAAAGGCAGGACTTTTGTTGGCAGGCCTGAACTCATCCTGAGGCCGTGCTGCAGCTCTGTGGGCTTGGGCAAGCCATCTCATAAACCCTGAAAGCATCTGATCAGAGGAAAGGGCACTGCCTGACCCCTGGGATTGCTCTGAGAGGCACAACAGCAGAGATGGAGGAAACATTGAGCCATATGCACATACGGATTCCTAAGTAGACGGGGCTAGTGTCAGCCTCAAAGAGAACATACTAGAAGATAAAATGGGGCGGTGGAGATGATAGAGTAATGAATAAAAAAGGTAGAGAATAAAGGTCGATAGTTATATCAAACATACTACGGGGAAAGTCATGGGAATTTGGAATATTTTTTAGTAACAGGAACACAAGATTAGAGGATCTTAGGTAAAATACAACACGAAATGTCCCCAAAAGTACACTGAAATGAAGAAAGACATGGAGTCCAAGAGCCAGCATCACCATGTGGTAGTAAGCCTAGTTCCTACTTCCTGAACTAGGTGTCAAGGACATTGTAAAGTGTCCTAGAATGGAAGTCAAGGTGAATGTTCCCAGAATGGTGAGCAGGGCTTGGTTACCTTCATAGCACTTTTCCCTCCATGGTAAAGTGCAGAGATGTCTCAGAAAAGAAACATATAAGGATAAATAGTGACAGCAATGGTTCTGCAGTTCAAGGTAGACACACATGTGCACACAAACACACACACACACGCACGTACACGAGTGTTTTAAAAATTTAAAAAAGGAAAGGGATTGTGGGATAATGCCATAGAAGTGGCGATCCTTAGAACACATTTGGGAAGTGCTGTCCTCCACTGTCCTTGGGTTCCTGCCGGATGCTGCCTTCCCTCCCAGTCTCCAGCAACACTGACCCCTCTGCTGGCATGACCCACCTCCCTGTCCTTCTCATCACTGCCGCCCTTCATCTGGAGAGCTGTAGTGTCATCTGAAATACTTGAAGTTATGGAAGTGTCTTACAGTTCTGGTTGTGACGGCATCAACCCCTTTCACAAGTGTTGCTGTATCTTTGGCGCTTCCCACAGGGGTCGAGCACAGTAGGTGTTCTGTGGGGGGGCGGGGAAGAAATGGCTGGAGCGAACACTAAACCGGAGGCTCTCTGTTACACAGGGTAGAAGACCATGACGATCTCATGCCAATATTTATGCACTATGACAACACGCTGAGAGAAATTTATGGCGAATACTTCCTGGCTGAACTAATAGAGGCCCAAGACGAAGAGAATCATGCTGTGGTGTGTGAGGTTGGTGACTGACCCTCCTGGGGACACAGTGAAAGGAACAAGAGGAAGGAGCCATGCTGCTGCTGGCTTGCTGAACATCCCTGGAGTTGATGTGCCCTTCCCTCCTGCATACCCTTCTAGGTGATGCCAGGCCAGCTTGGGGGACCAGAGAAAGCTGGGTGCTGGTCACGTCCTGGGCCAGCTGGTTGCCATGCTCCTGGCCGGGATTTGTGGTGTGGAACTGTCCAGTGTCTCTTGGATCTGGCAAGGTATTGGAAGAGCAGAGGACAAGGTTAAGTTTAGGAAGAAAAAATTTTTCTTTAGGTCCTGGTAATTGAGAAGGAGGGTGTCAGGGAAATAAGAGAGGGTTATATCTGACCTGTTTAAAGTGACCTCGATTCGGCTCTCTGGAACTCATAAGAATTCTTTGAGTTTGTAAAACGTAAGTTTCAGACACATACATTGTATAAACAGCAGCATATTTATGCCAGAATGACTGTGACAGACGTTTTTGCACAATGAAAAGTATCTTTAGTAAACGACCACAGAGAATTTAACATCTTTGATCTTGCAGTAGTGCAGTGGTAGCACTCTGCCAGAGTTGATTAATAGCCTATCAGCATTTTATTGATAGTGTTAAGACTCTAAACGACAGCATGAGAGAGAAATATGATAACTTGCATTTGTCCTCAGACCTTAATAACTTGCAGGTGGTCCTTGGTTCTCTAGTTATCAAGGTGAGGACGATACAGCAGTAAGCACCATCCCTCGTGGTCTCTGCTTCAGCTTTTGCCTCAGCTTCCCTCCATGCTGGGCTGTAAACCTGTCAGTCATTTCTTCCCTTTCCTCCCCCAGTTGCTTTTGGTCTGTGTTCTATCCCAGCAACAGAGACTAAAGTAGGACAGAGGCCACAGGGAGTGTATGATGTCAGAACAGGGCCACAGGAGTGGGGTCTTTCACCCACGCTCACGCAGTCCGAGGAAAGCGTCTGGAAGCAGCAGGGGTTCTCACACTTGAGCTGCCTGGGGAGCCCTTGGACTAAGGAACCCCAGGAGACTTGGCCTTACCCAGGCAGCGGGTGGGGAGGAGAGTGGGGGCGGGGAGGCTGCTTTTCTCTAAGTTGCAGGGTGTTGTTGCTCAATGGAATTGCGTTCTACATTAAAAAAACTGGGAAACCTTCCCCTTGGTTCTGGTGTAGTGTCACTCATGTCTAGAGTAGGTCTTCTATCAGCTATAACTGAGCAGCTCAACTTCCAGAGTGAGAGCTGGTTTGCCGGACAGGAGACATGATGGGGAAGAGCCTGAATGAATTTTAGGGCTCGTCTTTTCGTATAATGTAACAAATGCGGGCTGGTAAGATGGCGTGGAGAAGGGCAGTTGCCCAGTGAGTCTAGTGAGCTGCGTTTACTCCTGGGAAATTATGAAGAGTGGAGGGAGAGAACCAGCTCCACACTGTTGTTCTTTGACCTCTGTATGTGCATCTTGGCAAATACGTCCCAATACACACACACACACACACACACACACACACACACACACACAGGCACATAAATACTATACTAAAAAATTTAAAGCCTCTTTAAAAATAATAATTAACAGCCAGGCAGTGGTAGCGCACGCCTTTAATCCCAGCAACTGGGAGGCAGAGACAGGTGGATCTCTGTGAGTTCGAGGACAGCCTGGTCTACACAGTAAGTTCCAGGATAGCCAGGACAGTTTCACAGAGAAACCCTGTCTTGAATAAACCATTAACAACAATAATAAATAATAATAGTAAACAAACATGAAGTGAATAGAGCTCTTGGATCCCTACCCATCCTGTTCGTTAATAGAATCATAATTATGTTTTTGTTTGCAAACGGATGTTTGACTTTGATTTTTAAAAGAGATTTCTATGCCAGCTGCTTGAAAAGCATTAAAAATTGGAATTTGCAATTTTGTTTCTGGGGTGATATTTTTAGGGATTCTTTCTTCATACACTCTTTTCTCTTTTGCTGAAGCTGTAAGACCTCTTAAAGAACATGACTTTTCTTGAAATTTGAAAGCAAATATTGTGTGTAAATAAGGTGAGCAGTTTGAGGCTTGCTTCCACATCATGCCTCACAGCCTTGGTGACTACGAGACTCTCCCGGAAGACATTCAGACTTTGTGCCAACTTTATGCCAGCGTCATAATTCTTACAGTAACGAATACAGAGTCAAATACTCCAAAATAGATGTGGGCAAAGGATTTGATTGACAGCCCCACCTTCAAAAAAGAATACAGAAATTGTCAGTGGCACATGAGAAGGAGTCATTGGCATCGTGAGATGTCAGTCTCATTAGTCCTTTGGGAAGTGTTAGTCAAAAGCACAGTGAAGCCAGCCATGGTGGTTCACATCTGGAATCCTTGTACTCAGAAGACTGGGGCAGGACTAGCCCACATGCAAAACCAAATCTAGGCCACTCTGTTTCAAAAGCAAAACAGAACAACAGAAGCTGCAGTGAGATCCTTTTACTCCCAACAGGGTGGTAGTAGCAATAGCAACATCAGTAATAATAATAAATAGGACAGTAATGCAAGTTTTGGCTTGGAATTCAAGGACATACTGAGGTGGATGGCCCGTTGTGACAAGAGATTTATTTGGAGAGTTATTAGCATCATAGACGGAGACAATGGCAGCATGGTGGGGGCTCTGAGGAGAGTTCCAGTCCATGGTAGGGTACAGGAGTTCCTTCTTTTATGTTTCTGAGTGGGGAGGAGTGAAAAGGACATTAAACGTCCCTCTCTTTTACTTGAAGTGGGGTGTTCTGCTGGAGTAGCCAGGGAGCATCTTAACGCTCCCCATGTGGTTTTGACGTGCGGTCTGCTTGATGGCTCTCTTCACAGCTCAGTCAGCCTTCAGCTCTAGGCTGATGAGAAAAGGAAGGGTCAGGAAGCATTTGGGCCAAAGCAGCACCATTTTGAAAAGCAGTGTTTTTCCACAACCGCCGGAAACTACAGGCAACAAATCGCACAGAGCCTGAACAAGGACTTTGATCTTCCTGTTACGTCTCCATCTGTGTGATCCAGTCTTCATTTGTAGGAATCTTTTAGTTCTCTGGTTTTGTTTAGGGTGTTGTGCCACCCCAAATCCCTTGAGGAACTGATCTACCGCAGTTGTGACCTCTGCCTTGTTCATTTTCATGGTCTATTTCTTTCACTTTCCATGTGAACATGGAGGTGAAGAAAGCCACAGGTTGGAAGTGGCAGTGTCAACCCTGTGACGTTGTGTAGTGATAGGAGCGGTGGGCCGCTTCCCGCCACCTGGCTAGCTTTACCTGAAATAACAACACACAAATTGTATTCATTTAAGTAGTTGGGTGTGGTGGTACACACCTTTAATCCCAACACTTGGGAGCCAGAGGTAAATTGACCTCTGAGACTTCAAGGGGCAGAGGTAGATTGACCTCTGTGACTTCAAGGTGTGGCAGGACACACCTTTAATCCCAATGCCTGGGAGGCAGAGACAGAGGGATCTCTGTGAGTTCAAGGACAGCCTGGTCTACAGAGTTATTCCAGGACAAAGATATACAAAGAACCTGTCTCAAAAAGTAAAAATAAACAAAATAGAGGTTAAAAAAAGCCGCACAAAGATGGCAAATACACAGAAAATGAGATGTCTCTGTCATTTCTAGAGTTTTGGAAGTTGCTTACTTCTTGTTTACTTAGGGAATATTATATCCTTCTGGAGTCTTTGATGGAGTTGAAGAATAGATAGATGATTATAGTTTTCCATTGTTATGATAAAGATAAATAGATATAAATATTGTAACTTTAATTCTTGCTTGATAACTGTTTTATTATATGCAATTTAACTATGTTAAAGTGAAACCCTTTCTTTTTTGTTTAAACAGCAAAAGGGGAAATGATGTAGGAGGGTCGGTCAACTCTCTATGTGTTACTTTCATTGGTTAATAAAGAAACTGCTTTGGCCCTTTGATAGGACAGAAAATTAGGTAGGCAGAGTAAACAGAACAGGATGCTGGGTAGAAGGCAGTGAGGCAGACGCACAATGAAGCTCCAGCCCAATATGGATATATGTTAGAATCTTCCCGATAAACCACCACCTTGTGGTGCTACACACATTAATCAAGATGTGTGAGTTAGCCAGTAAGAGGCTAGAGCTAATGGGCCAGGCAGTTTCTTTATTAATCAATGAAAGTAACACATAGAAAGATGACCGACCCTCCTATATCAACGTTGGTGTCCCTAAGAGGTGAAGGGGTCAACCTACTCTCCTCCAAAGGCTGTGCTGCCTCAGCCATCAGAAGCTTTATGTTCCAGAGAGAGGAGACCACAGATTGTATTCAAGGACAAGAACATAGGCAGGGCCTGGGAACAGGAACCAGGCAGGAAAGCCACATCTTGTGTCTGAAGCTTTTCCAGGTTCAAGCTAAATACTGGTTCTACTGTCCCACCCTATCTGTCATCCTGGACATGTCACTACCCTGGGTGAAGGTATCTGGTCTAGCTTGAGAGAGCTAGTTGTCAAATCTTCAGGAACTTTGCAAGCTATTTGCTGAACATAGCCATTATTAAAACTTGTAGGCTCACACCTTTAATCTCAGCACTCAGGAGGCAGAGATAGGCAGATCCCTGTGAGTTCGAGACCAGCCTGGTCTACAAGAACTAGATCCAGGACAGCCAGGGCTATTATACAGAGAAACCCTGTCTTGAAAAACCAAAAATAAACAAACAAAAACCAAACCAAACCAAACAAAACAAAAAATTGTATAGGCTGCGGATGTAGCTCAATGGGTAGAGTTCCTGCCATATAAACCCAGCATGGTGGCATGTACCTGTAATCCTCACACTCGGAAGGCAGAGACAGGAGGATCAAAAGTTCAAGGTCACCCATAGTTAAATAACCAGTTCAAGGCCAGTCTAGACAACAGGTGACCCTGTCTCAAAAACAAAACAGCAAACAAACCCCCAAACAAAAAGCCACTTGTATAAACTTACAGTATAAAAAATTATAGTAAATAATGTTTAAAGGGTACAATTGATTTCTTTTAATATTATGCAGCTCTTGGGGATTTTGTCTGTGGTCTTATCCCGTGGACATAGTATTTAATAATGCCATCACATATCTCTGTCCTGCATCTCTACTCCATGTTTGATGACGTCAGTTGGCAACTTGAAACTACCATGATGACAGTATTTTACCATTGGCAAACACTAAACATCCGGGCATTTCTTCCCAACACTGAATGGGCATTTGTTAACATCTACTGGGGCAGCCACTGTAAGTGTGTGTTCCAGTTCTGGAGCTGCAAAGGGACAGCTCTGGAGGCCGGAGCTTCAATACGACAGCTCTGGAGGGAAAGGTATCCTGACTTGTGGGGAATTCAGATGATACCTGGAGCTGCAAAGGGATAACTCAGGAGCTGCGAAGGGAGAGCTCTGGAGGGAAAGGTATCCTGACTCAGGAAGTCAGGCCTAACTCATCAGGAAGTAAAGCAATATGTGGAGCTGGGGTTGTGGTAGGGGATGGTTTCCCCACAGGACATAGTAGTCAGTAGTCTTGCTCCTCTCCCAGAGAGAGCTGTTACAGCTGCTCTGTTCCCCTCTAGGATCGTCCTAGCAAAGCTGTCCCCTTCTTCTGCTCTGCTCTTCTTCTGCCCAAGATGTTACCTCTTTTGTTTCACTCTGCTAAAGCAGAGACTCTGCAGAAGTGTAGCAATCTCCTCGGCAGCGAAAAGTTTTTACTTTTTCTGCTCAGCTACCCTAAGGGAAAGTCTCAGCAAAGTTTCTTCTTTTCTGCACTGGGGAAAGAGCGTCACCCGAAACTCTTTTTAGTAAGAGATTTATTTGGGAAGGAGGATTCCAGGAAAGTAGCTGCCTCTGCCAGGGTGGGAAAGGGCCGCCCACAACAGAACAGGCAGAAGGGTTTATATAGGGCTTCTTAGGGGCAGAGTTTTCCCAGGGAGATTATTTTCTGTTCAGAGATTGGTTAGTTTTCCTGCTTAGGGATTGGTTGGTTTAGCTGGTCAGGGGCAGAGTTGGCTCCCATTTCAAGGCCAAACTATGTTTCTTTCACTTCCCCCTTTTTAACTTTTTGGCTCTAGTTTTGGGGCCAGGGTCTATTTCTTTCACTGGCCTCTGGTTTCAGAACCAGGGTGAGTTTCTTTCACTGGCCTCTGGTTTCAGAACCAGGGTGGGTTTCTTTGGCTGGTCCGTTTACCCTGTAGCCACCACTAACCAAGGGTAACAGGACAACGTGCAACAAGTGTGCCTCTTTCCAACACACGTACATCAAGTGTGCCTCTTTCCAACCCAGTACAGGATGGTTTCAGGCTGAGCACGTAGAGCTCTTGAGGGCTTGGCTTGCGTTAGGAGAAAAGACATTGCCTTGTTGAGGAATTGTTGACTTTCTCTGTCCTGTTTGCTACTTTGGAGAAGTTCTGAGCTGTGGCTTTGCTGCAGGTTCCTTGTCATAAGTGTACCTTGACATCTGGTGTTTACTCCAAGCTGAGATTTCAAGGAAGGGTAGTTGGAGGCCAAGGCGGTTCCTAGAGACAGATGGGCAGAGCGTCTGTTTTGGCATCATCCCGGACATGGGCAGCAGTGGTCCGAGAAAGCACCACTGACCTGCAGGCGGGAGAGAGCCTGCCAGGTTAGCCGTGCACTTGGCATCAAGAGAAGGGGATGAAAGCCAGTAACGGTCACAACGAGGACAAAAGCCCTCATTATGAAATATTGTCACCCAAAAGGGATGCCTGACTGTGTGGGTTTTGGTAGTGGCATTATGAATGCCAAAGCGCACACGTGTCTGTGAGTTAGACCGATTTGTGAAGACAAGGCAAGCTCACAGATGGTTTTCCAGTGTCCTAAATCTTATCTGTGTGGTCATGTAGACACTCACAGGACAGACAGGAAGAGCAAAATCTCCAGTTTTGTCCTCCAGACTTTGACGGCAGAAAATACCTGTGTCTGCTGAATGGCAACAGCAGCCAATGCCTCTGCACTATACAAGTGACACACACAGCAACATACCCCAGGCGAGTTTTGCAAATTGGTATTCCAGAATGGTGTGTCTCCAGGCAGTCATTTGAAAGGAACCCAAAGACCAGAGCGGATGTGTCCACCCTCTGTCCTTGCTCTGCGGCCGCCTCTGACTGTGGGCTTTTGTAAGTTGTTACAACCCTAGCCGAGTGATGGGAATATAACAGGTTGTGGAATTGGAGAATGCTAAATCTTTGTTCCTAATGGCAAAACATGTTTTTCTCATTTTCATCAGAATGTGTGATCCATGCCATTTGAAACCAAATCCCCAACACAATGAGCCATTAGTGTAACAGCTCATTACTAGCGGCGGCCTTATAAATAATACATTCTTATCATGCACACGCAGCTCGCCATGAAGCCAGCAAAAGGTATTTCAGGCCATGGAAGTTTCACTGCGCCAGCACGGCTGTAGATTAGAAGGACATCTCCATGTGAACCAAGATGGATGCCAATTTTCCCTGCCGGGAGTGAGGCTGGCCGTCTCTTTCTGCACATATGGTAGATGGATTGGTTAATCAGCGTCTGCTGAGTCTTGGGCCTGAAATGACAGAGAAGCCAGACAACTGCAGCTCCGCAGCCTTTGTTCGGGAGTGCAAACAAGACAAACAATTACTTGTTATTTGGGAAAAAAATTAAAATGTTTATTTTGGACTTTCATTAAAGTGTCAATGGCTTTATAAAACAGCTGTGTAAATCAGCCTTTTATAGCAAGTATCATTTGGGGAGGGGTCCTGGAAAGAAAGGAAAATGCAAGGAAGATTCATTTTAAAAAGGACTCCTTGAAGATAAAGGGCACCTTTGTGTGTTTTTCAAGCACACAAAGCTATTGGAGAAATAGTTTGCTATCTGTCTTTTGCTGTATCATCAAACATCCGTGCCGCTTGCTTCTCTGCTGTGGGATGTTGAAGCCTCGCCCATTTGTGTGGGGCTGCCCCTTGGGAATGGATGGTGCACAGTACTGTGAGTCCACTTCCTAAATAGAATGGCTGTGTCAGTCAGTCAGTCACTCAGCTTCCTGGGAGTCTGTGTTCCTCATCAAAAAAAAAATTTTTAAAAACCATATATTAAAACCATGGCGACCATTGCAAAGAGCTTCATAGCCAGGGATTTAGTGTGCAGAGGGTTGTTTGTTAGCATGTCAGTCCAGACTTCACGGAGCTCTTTCCCTCCAAACAGGGGAGGTGCAGGGAGCGGTTCAGAAAGAGGACAGGTGAAGCTTTCCAGGGTCTCCTCAGGGACACTCTGGTGACTCCCTAAGTTATTTCCCAACTGCTAAGAGCGTCCCCAGTGGTCACTTGTTGGATATGCCTTTGAGCATGTTCTGTATTCTATGCATTGCACTGGACACAAGAGTTACTGGAAGACCCTTCCACCCTTAAATAACCCAAGAGTGTTCCCCACGCTCCCAGTGGGCCACATGCCAAGAACTCTTGGCAGATCTTGAGTCTGATAGGTGGCTGTGTTCTGGTGTTGCAGGTGGAAGGCAAGGCCGTTGGGTTCATGAGCGTGTGCTCCAGCGTGAACTTGCCCCTGCTGCACGAGTGCTTTGACCTGGGCCCTTTCCATGGGTTCTGTGTCCCACATACTGACGATCTTCTGGAACCATCAAGAGAGTCAAGTTTGAAAGAAAGCCAAGGTATGGTGGCTGTCCCAGGACATACCAGAAAAGTCAGCACACATCTTACACACAGCTGTGCTATTCACAAAAAGTCCCTTCCAAGTCCCATTTATGGAGTACATCCACACGGTTATTGGCATCTTTGTGAAATCTGTGGGTCTCTCTCTCTCTCTCTCTCTCTCTCTCTCTCTCTCTCTCTCTCTCTCTCTGTGTGTGTGTGTGTGTGTGTGTGTGTGTGTGTGTGTGTGTGAGAGAGAGAGAGAGAGAGAGAGAGAGAGAGAGAGAGAGAGGGAGAGAGAGAACACCAGAATATAATAAATAACTTCAAGAATTCAAGGGATTAGGGAAATATCTTAGTGGCAGATCACTGGTCTCGTATGGACTAGGTTCCCTGGGTTAAATCCCCAGTGCTTAAAAATTTAAATGTATAAAAAGCAAACAAGCTTGAAGACTCTGTATACTTTTAAACTTTGATCTTTACAATAAGAATTTCTGTGTTTATGTCTTTGGGCAAACCCTCTGTAGCATGAGTGTATTGCAAATGGTCATTTTGAATTTGTACAACTGATTTCTGCATATATGAAATAACATCAATTTTCGCTTTATATTTAAGTGTGTATGTCTGTATGGGTATATACTGTGTGAGTGTGTGTATGTGTGTGTCTGTGTATGTAATTAAGAGGGTATCAGATCCCCTGGAGCTGGGGTTACAGGTCATTGTGAGCCACCATATGGATGTTGGAAACTGAACTCAGGTCCTCTGCAGGAACAATACAAGCTCTTAACCTCGAGTCATAAAATGAATTTTGAAATATTGTCTGTGTCAGCATTTCATGAAGTAAAATGAGGTAATCTCTGCTGATAGCTTCATGGTTAAGTAGTTTTTTTATGGATAGATAAGGTTCTTTAAGATAGATAAAGACAGGCAGGCGAGCTTAGGTGTGTCAGTTCAATTCTCTTATCTGGGTTCCCCATGTGTAGGGTGAGGAAAACTGCCATCAGGAAGGAGTTGTGGATTTTCACTGAGGTATGGCGTGTAAAATGCTATACTTGGTGTCCATGTCTTGAATGAATTTAGTGAGCAGTAAACATTGATAATAGTGGCCATTGTTTCTTTATGATTGGCCATTCAGTCACTTTTTGGGGGAAAATCATGATTTTTTTAAAAATTGTACTGCTTCCTATAACATGAAGGGTTTTAGTAAGGTTGTTCAAAAATAGGAAGAGGAGCAATATGGTTGGTGGCACAGGACTTGGTGTTCCAGTCAGTCGCAGGTGTCATTTAGCCAACCTTGTCCCTTCAGTGGGCACACCAAACACTAGACAGTGGATGCACGTGTCCTGACGGTGCACACTCATCACACGGAATGATGAAACCCTCCGTGGAAAGGCTCTTCCCTTTGGTACTGACAACAGCACCCTTCCTGAAAGTGAGACTCGAGTCATTACTGTTGCATGGTGAACGGTGCCTTCCCCAGGCTCTTGGGGAAGGAATGTTCTGGAGGAACATTTAAACACATAAGACAGTCCTGAACTAGAAATTGTCACAGTTGCTTTCCAGTGCTAGAAGTCTTCTTTGAAGGTGGCACCAAACGGAAGCCTTGCTGCAGCTCGTGTTCTCATGTATAAAGGAGAGATACAAATAATACCCAATCAAGGGATGGGTAGGAGGAGTAAATATTGGAATTGTGATGCACTTAGCTCAGTGCCAAGCACAGCCAGATGTGGTGGAGCACGTCTTTAATCCCAGCAGTCAGGGGCAGAAGCAGGCGATCTCTGTGAGTTCTAGGCCAGCCTGGTCTACAGAGAGAGTTCCAGGACAGCCCAAGATGTTAAACAGAGAAACACTGTATCAAAAAACAAAAAACAAACAAACAAACAAAAAAAAAACCCAACCCAAACCAAAACAAACCAAGCAAATTGGAAGGCTATAGACCCTTCCTGAGGCTGAGTCTTCCTGACACTACTGCTGTTCCTTATATAGAATGAATGGAAAATTCCTGTCTCAGAAATTTTACTGGAGGGGGGAGGAGGAGAGTCAGAGTTTAGCTGAACTCTGGGCCTGACACATCTACACGTTATCTATTATGGCTCTGCGTAGCAAAAGTCTGCGAAGACAGGAAAGGCAGGCAGCTGGCTTCTCATTACCTCCTTCAGCCCATTTCTTAAAACCATTTGCTCTAGGACAGGGCGGCAAGCAAAGGAAGTAGGAAACGTGTTACCTATCACAGGGTGTTTATTTTTGAAAATTGGTTTTCTGTTCACTGACACAAAAATGATTCTTTATGAAATTGTTACCAGGGAGCTTCCGTTGTAGACTTGCGATACCTCAGGGATGGAGTCATAGGTCCTCAGCAGCTCGTTATATCCAGGCAGAGTCATCAACAAATTCCACAGCCATCTTTTCATCACATCAACAGAGGAAGCTCCAGAGAAGACTGAAAATGAGCTGTCACCTGCTCGGGTTTTGTTACTCTGGTGAAAGTCTTTTACGGAAATATAATTTCTCAAAAACACGAACCGAGATTTGTGTTTTAAATGAGCACACATCATTACAGTTTGTATTTTGCTATAGTTTATATCTCATATTTTGTTTGATGATTGTTCTAGTTACTTTCTCGAAGCCGTGACAAAAGCAGCTTGTGGAGGAAAGGGTTGATGTGGCTCATACTTCCGGGTCGTGATCCAGTAGTAAGGGAAGTCAGGGCAGGAGCCCAAGACAGGCAGGAATTGAAGCTGAAACCAGAGGAAATGCTGCTCACCAGCTTTCTCTCCTGCTCAGCTGGCTTTATCATATAGCCAGGACTCACTTGCCTAGGGATGGTGCCCCCCCACAGTGGGCTGGCCCATCCCACATTAATCATTAATCAAGACAATCTCTTACAAACATGGCCACAAGCCAGTTTGATCTGGGCAACTACTCAGTTGAGGTCCCCTCTTCTGAAGTGATTCTAGGTTGTGTCAAGTTGACAGTAAAGCTATGAAGGACAGCGGTTTTTCATTCCAAAGGATGCTAATAATCATTACCTCATTTTATCCTCATAGCTTGATGCCAAAGAGTCAGGGCAGGGGCAGCTCTCTTCATTTCATCTCTGCCCAAGCTTGTCCAAGGTTTATAAATTTCATCAGGAACTGTCTCAAAAGCACAGTCCAGCCTCTTATTTACCTCTCTGCATCTGGGCAAAGTAACAGTCTGGGTGTCAAGTTCAGGCACTTGCATGCCAGGCTCGCAGTCTACCACTGAGCTACACTCTCAGCCCAACCCAACACCTCCACCTGTTTCTTTAGTCACAGATCCGCCTGCCTCTGCCTCCAGAGTGCCGGGATGAAAGGCGTGCGCCACCACTGCCTGGCAAGTCACAGTTTCTAAAACTATGGGTCAAAACCCCAGTGGGGTCTGAATGTAAGGGTTATAAAATTTTGGCAACAATCAAAGGCTTTTTAATGCTTAGTGACTAAAAATCAATTCAGAAGCAATTGTGTAATGACTCCAAGATGCCCACCTGTGTCATATCATGTGACTTCACTGTTCTGAACATATAACATGTGCAGTTTACAGTGCTCAACCTGTCGTACCATGTGCTGAGGAATGTTTCTTGAGAGTGTTATGAATTGCAGTGTTTTACTTTATATATAAAATAGGAGTGGGGATTTTAGTGTTTTTAAACTTTTAATACTTTTTGATCAAGATTCTACAGTCTGTAAGTATCAAATTAGTATATCTTTGATTGAATTGTGTTCAAACGTTTGGTTTGAAAAATTGCTGTTTGAGTTGCTGGCTTGAATCAAAAAAAATATTAAATGATTCCTGTAACTCCAGAGTTGGATAGGGGCAGAGATAGACAGATCTCTGAAGCTCATTGGCCAGAAAAATCTAGCCCAATCAATGAGCTTTAGGTTCATTCCTAGAGAAACCTTGTTTCAAAAGTGGAAAGTGATCAAAGAGGGTACCAGATAGCCAACCTTTGCCCCTAACGTGGGTGGGCACCTACACTCACAGGTATATAGACCACACCCCAAATCATAAAATTAATTTTGGCTTGAGACTAAGATAGAATTTCCAACAGTTTATAAGATAGTCCTAGGCATACGGCTGCCATTTTGTATTACACCCTTATGGGAAGCAGCATCCTCAGCATTTAATTGCACAACCAAAACCTTATTCACCTCTGAAAATGTTGGTCATGTTCTACTGCTTCAGTGTCAAATATTTTGCCAAGACATAATTCTTAACATAAAACTAAATAACATGTATCTAATTAGTATGCAAATTTCCTTTCCTCTTCAATAAATATTAAAATTGCAGATGGGAGGTGGGATGGAGAAGGGGGAAGTGGGAGAAGGGGGGAACTGGGATTGGTATGTGAAAAATAAATAATAAATTAATTAATAAAAAAATATTAAAATTGGACTGGAGAATGGCTCAACCAGTAATGTCTTACCACATAAACATGAGGACCTGAATTTGATTCCAGCATCTTAAAAAGCCTGGCATGATATATGCTCCTGCACTTCCAATGCTGAGGAGGCAGGGACAGAAAGTTCCCTACGCTTTGCTGGCCAGACAGTTCAGCTGAATCAGCGAGGAGCTCCAGGTTCAGCAAGAGACCCTGTATCAACAGGAAAAAAAAAAAAAAAAGATGAGGAATAATTGAGAAAGACATGATGTGGGATTTCCTTCTCTATATGTGTTGCTTTTATTGGTTGATGAATTAAGCTATTTCAGCCAATGGCTTAGCAGAGTAAAGCCAGGTAGGAAATCCGAACAGAGTTAGCGAGAGAGAGAGAGAGAGAGAGAGCAGAGTTGAAGAGATCGCCAAAGGAGAAAGATGCCAGAGCATTACCAGTAAGGCACAACCTTGTGGCAATACATAGATTAATGAAAATGGGTTAATTTAGGATGTAAGAGCTAGCTAGGAATATGCCTGAGCCATTGGCCAAACAGTGTTGTAATTAATATAATTTCTGTATGATTCTTTGGGACTGAACAGTTGTGGGACCAGGCAGGACAGAAACTT